TCACCCTCACTCCAAATAAAGTGTCAGACAAAAGAAGTGCTGTGAGAATAAAATAAAAAATAAAGAGACATATTTTTTATTTATTTATTTATTATTTATTTAATTTTTGAGATGTCTATGTAGATCTCCGTGCATTAACTGGTGGTCTGCATGTTGCTGAATGTTACCTTTGATTTAATTTCCTATAGATATTCATTTTGTAACTACTTAGTAAAATCTTATTAAGCTTAAGATACGTTTGTTTAACACCAGGTGTAACAGTGTTTATACTTTTGGAGAAAGCTGATATATATTATCTGTCATACCTTCAACATAAGCATTTAAGGACACACAGGCTTAATTTGTTTAGACATCCTTAACCTATTGTTACAAACTGACTACAAGATAGGGGATAGATAACTTCAAACATTTATATCAATTGATCAAGCTTTTTATTACTAAGCTGGTCACCTACCAACATTTGCCATTTAGCAACCCCTGATAACCTGCTATCCCATATCCCCAATAGGTCTGCTGAGCTCATTAGCTCTCCTCAGGGATTTAGATGTGGAGTGATCAGTTCTTTGTTATTTTTTTATTTTTACTTTTGTATCTTATGATCTACAATAAAATAAAAGGTCTGCATACCCTTAGTTCTTAATACTGTGTATTGCCCCCTTTAGGATCAATGACAGTGTGCAATCTTTTGTAATAGTTGTCTATGAGGCCCCTAATTCTTGCAGGTGGTATAGCTGCCCTTTCGTCTTGGTAAAATGCCTCCAGGTCATGCAAAGTCTTTGGTCGTCTTGCATGAACCACATGTTTGAGATCTCCTCAGAGTGGCTCTGTGATATTAAGTTCAGGAAACTGTGATGACAGAACCATCACTTTTTTCTGCTGTAACCACTGGAGGGTCAACTTGGCCTTGTGCTTAGGGTCATTGTCATGCTGGAAAGTCCAAGAGCGTCCCATGCGCAGCCTTCCTGCAAAAGAATGCAATTTGTGTGTCATTATTTTCTGATAACATGCTGCATTCATCTTGTCATCAATTTTCACAAGATTCTCCATGCCTTTAGAGCTCACCCCCCACCCCAAAACATCAGTGAGCCATCACCATGATTCACAATGCGGATGGTATTCTTTTCACTATAGGCCTTGTTGACCCCTCTCCAAACATAGCATTAATTGTTGTGACCATACAGTTCTATTTTGGTCTCATCACTCCAAATTACAGTGTGCCAGAAGCTGTGAGGCATGTCAAGTTGTTGTCGGGCATATTGTAACCTGGCTTTTTTGTGGCTTTGGCGCAGTAAAGGTTTCTCTCTGGCAACTCGACCATGCAGCTCATTTTTGTTCAAGTATCATCGTATTATGCTCCTTGAAACAACCACACCATCAGGGCCGGACTGGGAAAAAAATTAGGCCCAGGCATTTTTCAATCAGAGCGGCCCCCTAAAAAGGGGGCGGGGCTAGAGAGGGTGTGTTTTGTCATCACTAATGACAAGCATGCCCCCTCTCAAAGTGAGCATGTTGGTTCAATGCGCAGAGGCCCGCTGAAGAGCTCTAGCATTAGAAAAAGGCCCTGTATTTGTTCTGCGCAGTGCAAGCAAATTTAATAACATGCTTGCACTGTGTTTGCTTTTAAATTGTCTCTAGTGTCTCCACAAGTGGGATACCAGAGGACAAAAGGGTCAGGAAAGTGTATGGTGCATGTGTTTGGAGCCTGCTTGTGGGATTGCGTGTGTGTAGAGTGTGGTGTGGTATTGTGTATAGGTCAATTTCATTCATGTTTGTGGTGTAATTTGTGTGGCTAGGGGCTGTAGAGAGTGTGTGTATAGGGGCATAGTGTTATAGGGGATGTAGCGAGCGTGTGCATACGGGCTGTAGTGTGTGTGTATAGGTGACGTAGTGTGTGTAGAGGTTGTAGAGAGTTTGTGTTTAGAGAATGTTGTATGTGTTTGCTTACAAGGAATGTAGTGTGTGTGTGTGTGTAGGTGGTGCAGTGTGTGTGTAGGAGATCTAGTGTGTAAAGGACCCAGAGTGTGTATAGAAGATTGTGTGTGTGTGTGTGTGTGTGTGTAGAGGATTTAGAGTGCATACAGGTAAGGGATCTAGCGTGTATCTGTAGCGTAATGTGTGTAGTGGTGCAGTGTGAGGGGTGCTGTAGTGTGTGTGTGTGTGTGTGTGTGTGTGTGTGTGTATATATATATATATATATATATATATGGACGTATTGTATGTGTGAGGTGTGCAGTGTGTGTGTGTGTGTGTGTGTGTGTGTAAGAGGAGTGCTGTGTGTGAGGGTGTTTTTATCTGCTGTCACATTCTAGGTTTCTAATTTTCTTTGTCTGTTAACTCACTGAGGGTTTTTGTACAGGGAGTGCAGAATTATTAGGCAAGTTGTATTTTTGAGGATTAATTTTATTATTGAACAACAACCATGTTCTCAATGAACCCAAAAAACACATTAATATCAAAGCTGAATATTTTTGGAAGTAGTTTTTAGTTTGTTTTTAGTTATAGCTATGTTAGGGGGATATCTGTGTGTGCAGGTGACTATTACTGTGCATAATTATTAGGCAACTTAACAAAAAACAAATATATACCCATTTCAATTATTTATTATTACCAGTGAAACCAATATAACATCTCAACATTCACAAATATACATTTCTGACATTCAAAAACAAAACAAAAACAAATCAGTGACCAATATAGCCACCTTTCTTTGCAAGGACACTCAAAAGCCTGCCATCCATGGATTCTGTCAGTGTTTTGATCTGTTCACCATCAACATTGCGTGCAGCAGCAACCACAGCCTCCCAGACACTGTTCAGAGAGGTGTACTGTTTTCCCTCCTTGTAAATCTCACATTTGATGATGGACCACAGGTTCTCAATGGGGTTCAGATCAGGTGAACAAACGTGTATCTACAGTTGGCATAGATACATCGATGACGTCCTGGTATTCTGGCTAGGCTCTGTTAAGCAATTTGAAGAATTGGTTGCACTTCTCAATAAGAACTCTATTGGCCTCCAACTAACCCATGTAATTGATTCGGAACATCTAGTTTTTTTAGATCTCAATATCAAGATATTACCTGATGGAACTATCGAAACCGAGCTCTATCGGAAACCGACAGCAACGAACAGCCTGTTAAATTGGGATAGCCATCATCCTATCAAACTTAAATCGGGCATCCCATACGGACAATATTTGCGGGCAAGGCGCAACTGCTCCAATGATGCAACATTCCAGCTTGAAGCTCAAAAGTTGCGAATTATGTTTAAACAAAAAGGTTATCCGAATAAAATACTGAAAAGAGCTTATCAACAAGCCTCGGCTAAAAATAGGAGCGAGAGTCTACATGCCAATAGACAAGTCTCGGATTCCAAGATTATTCGATGCATTGGGACTTTTGATCAATACTGGGAACCAATTCTACATATTATGTCTCATAATTGGCCAATTCTCAATTATGACAAAGACCTTAAGGACAACATCACCAGGTTCCCCAACATCACTGCACGTAGGGCTAAGAACCTCCGTGACCACCTTGTCCACAGTCATTTAGAACCTAGCCGTAATCCTACTTGGCTAACCCCTGTTGCTGGTGTATATCAATGTGGCCACTGTAAGGCCTGTAAACATATCAAGCCTTCCAAAACCATCTTGAGTACCCGTACAAAAAAAGAATATAATATTAAACAGTTTATCAATTGTAATTCTACAAAGGTAATTTATCTCATAACTTGCAGCTGCAATATTCAGTATATCGGTAAAACTTACCAACAATTTAGAAGAAGGATCCTTCAACATATATGCTCAATTTCTAACCTGAATCTCTCTACTCCACTATCCAACCACGTGAGACTCCATCATGGGGGCAATCCTTGCCACTTGACATTTCAGGCTATAGAAAGAATAATTTTAAACTCTCGGAAGGGCAATTTCAACAAAATACTGCTAATGAAAGAATCCAGATGGATTTATCATTTCCAAACCCTGACCCCTCATGGGCTTAATGAGGAGTTCAATTTCACCCCATTTATTCATAAGTAACTCTATTTTCATTTTTCATTTTTTATTTTATGAATAATTATCTTTTTGTTCAGATCATGATGTTCTAGTGCTGTAAGATTACAGTTTTCATACAAGCTAATAACATGACTATAGTTCTCCTTGATATGAACGTTTATATTACATGTATAGTCCCTAATTTCGTTGTGGCTGTTTTTTATAATATATATTATAATATAGATATATATTCACATTCATCATGCAACGTTCCTATGGCTTCCCAAATTGGAGACTGGTCTGTTAGGGTATAATTTGCCGTCTCTGAACTATATCAGCGCTTCTGATTATTTCAGTATCTTCTCTTTGGGAACTTTCTTTACTCTGGTTAACTTTTGCAGTTTTCTACTATTATCTTATTTTTACGCTTATATCTACTAGTTATTACTACTATTTTCCTATCTTCTAATTATTATAATGCCTTTTTTTGCTACTCTCTTATCTTTACCCTTCCGTTAAAATTTTTGGACTATATCATGTACGGCTTTTTTCTTCTTTCTTGATCATCCCTTGTTAACGTTATGCGTTCCTTCTAAAATTACATACCATAATTGATAGGTATTTACACATCACTTTTGCTCTATCCACTATATATATATATATATATCTTTCTCTATCAGGTTCTCTCGTATATTAAGTGATCAATCTATCACTTCTCTAAGGGTTAATTTCCTTGCTATGCTGAACTAACATACTCCCTCCCCCTTTTTCTTGACGTCATATTTGGCTATCCAATCTGAATACTTTGTTTTCAACCAATCAGTTACCTTTCCTTCTTATTTAAACCCGGCTTTTTCTCCCGACCGGTTCCCCTCTGACGAGCTTGGCGGGCGAAACGCGCGCGTCAGGGGCTACATGGCTTTTTTGCCACTTTTCTCTTATCATAGTTTACTTTTCATTTTGTGTGTCCTCTGATTTGGGTATAGTTTGATATTAGGGGGGTTAGCGTTAGGTGCCCTCGAAGGCACGGGGGTGGAGTGTCAGCCGCAGCGTTATCATTTCTAGTTAGTGTTAGACACTATTTGCTAATTTTGTATCATACAGTGTTGTGCTATCTGGCAACCCTTTTGCTCTTAATCTAGGGCTGCATCCTTAGCATCTATAGGCGAATTTCTTCTAGCATTGGGTGGCATTTTTGAGTAACCATACTTGCCGCCAGATATAGATACATTCTGTGTGTTACAACCTCATAGATGCGCAATTTACGTATATCCAGCTACACTCACTGACAGTTTTAGGCTGGCATTTCCATTACTTTAATATATATACCTCTACCATATCGGCTGACACCGTGGTGAACTCTTATCTGCCGATATACTGTGATACATTTTGCATGCAGCAGCCTGTGTGTTCACAGCCTCACAGAGGTTCGATCATGTGTATCTAGCTACACTTACTAGGATTCTGTATGCAGGAGCATTCTAACACGCTACCTTATTTATTTATTTTCTCCACTTTTTGCAATTGGCATTTGTACCTTCCTCTCCACCCCCCTCTTCCCCCCCCCCCTCCACTTCTCTTCCTTTTATTCCTTTTGTGCAGACGTGTGCCAGGAATAGGTTTATGTATAATCACCCAATCAGAGTTTATCCTATATACATTACTATATTTCTGTGTTTCACTCCTATTACAATCAGAGTCTAACTTATATATATATTAAGATCTCTGTGTCATTTCTAGATTTTAGTTTTAGTATTATTAGTTTTCAATTATTTTCAATAAACTTGTTTTTTATTTTCTGGACCCTGTGGTCCTTTTTAGATGTGCCTGTATTCCACACATTTAGTGTAGTAGTTTCAGGCCTCGACTAGTCCTCTTCGAAGGTACACATTTCTTTTGTTTTGTATCCATTTCTACTAGGGGTTATCCCTCTTTCTCTGTGTACCTTGGCTGTCCCCCCAAAAAAACGTTTCTCACACTGGCACATACACACAAATATGCACAATGGCACAGGCATACAGATACACACTGGCACATACTCAGATACCCACACTGGCAAACACACACAAATATGCACACTAGCACATACACACAGATACATATTGACACACAGATACACACTGACACATACACACACAGGCACATACACACAAATACACACTGACACATACACACAAATGCTCACACTGACACATACACACACTGGCATATACACACACTGGCATATACACACAGATACACACTGTCACATACACACAGATACACACTGACACACAGATGCTCACACTGGCACATACACACAGATACACACTGACACACAGAAACCCACATTGGCACATACACAGAGATACACTCTGACACACAAATACACAAACTGGCAGATACACACTGGCACAGATACACACTGACACATGCACATTTGCCCACACTGGCACATACACACAAACACATACTGGCATATACACAAACTTGCACATACACAGAGATACACACTGACACACAGATACACACTGAAACATACACACAGATGCTCACACTGGCACATACACACAGATACACACTGACACACAGATGCCCACACTGGCACATACACACAGATACACACTGATACACAGATACCTACACTGGTACATACACACTGATACACACTGACACGCAGATACACACTGACACATACACACACAATCTGACACACATTGCAGCCACCTGTTTTCTTACCTTTTTGGGTCCTGGCCTAGACTGATGGGAGTGAGAATGTAGCTGCTCACTCCAGCCTCTCCATGCTACCGGTTTGGTATATATGAATATATCTCTCTAAATGAAAATTTCTATGCACAATGAGAATTTCTAAATGTATATGACACATTACATTAAATGCATTTTTGTCCTTTAAAATGGTGTATATTATGTGTTGGTGCAATAAATGAAAAAGAGCATGAATAAGTCTGACTCATTCTGTGAATATAGTTAGAAAACGTCAATTTCTTTTCACCAGCCACATCATTCAGCTACACAAGGACCTCCTTCTGCTTTTTAAAATTATTTTTATAAAAAAAGGAAGACATATGGCAAATACTTAGTGCTGATGCATAATGGATTTTGTGAAGAACCCAGCTGTGTACAAGGTATTAGCCATTCTTCAATTTGAAAAATATTAGTGACGTATTGGTTAACTGTTGATGTTGATGTAAGATGTAAGATCAAGTTTGCCACAAAACCCTCACCCATATCACAAGAGTGCTTTTACATGGACTTCCAAAAGTAATGTGCTCACAAATAGTATTTACATAATGACCAGGCATATGAACGGGTCAATATATTAAACGCATATGAGAAAGGATGTAGGGTAGTTCCGGTGAGTGAGTGGCGTCGATGTTCTCTGCCGGGTGTCCGCGCAGGATTTAATTGAGGACTAGGATCGATGGGGTGTGGTAGGCCCCGGCCTTGCTTCTCCGTTTCTGCAGCCTTTTTGGCTGAAAGAAAGGCATTGGACAATGTGGTATGTTACACTGATGCCGATTGGGTATGTGGCAAGGCTGGATGGATGTGGGAAAATCCGATATTTAGTTGATTTAGTCCGCAAGTTTTGGGAGCTGATAGAAATGGCGTCCAAACAGGTCAGGTAGCAAACGCCGCCCCGTGTAGATGTTTCTTTTACAAGACGTTTGATAACTAATGTGTCCAGGATATCACCGTGTAAAATTTTTTCACCATAATACATTTTCCATATATGAATGGTTCCTGCAACTTTATTTGGATCCTATAGGCCTTATCACGCATCACAAACTGCCAATTAATGCGAGGTCATGCCTGTATTAACCATGCTTTTTCCGACATCATTATGAAAATAATACAGGACTTTTCATTAACAGTCATGATCATATTAGATACAGTGTGGTTTGGAACATTATTTTGGAGTGTGGATTGGAACATTATTTTGTGTTTAGTTCTACTGGTTATAACTATAACCGACAAAACTGAATGTCTTGAACAGTGAGTAATGTTATTTATTTAGCTGCTGGTGATGTAATATTTAATCTTTCCTCATATTAGCTGAATTAGAAATTGTTTAACAGAATGTTGCTTGCATTATTCAAGCACAAATACATATGTCCTGAGCAATTCTTTTTTGTTTTTTTAATTCTTTATTTTTGCAGTGCACGTAAAAGATACAGGCAGGCCTGAGGTGCCCCGAAAGCAATCCTCTGGCTTTCCCACGCGTAACATGCGGGGCATAAGATTAACTGGCACAATTTTTTATTATTTTATCAGGCTTAAGTAGTGCAACGTTGGAGCTTCGAATTTAGATGTAAATTTAACATACAAACAGGATTAAATGATATTGTGAAGAGGAGCGATCTTAAACTGTAATACAACCCTATCCCGCATGCAGCAAAATTATCAAGTTAAAAATATACTTATACTTCTTGCTGAATGGTATCGCAATTGATGTTCAGCGTATAAAAGAGAAACAAAAGTGATCATAGTACAGATCTGTTACATTAACTTGCACTTCTGTAAATAGTGCTAAAAGTCACATATACTCTGTTGAATCAGCTGAATATTAATAAATGTATTACAAGTATAAAACAGATATCAAAAATAAAAAGCAAGCTATAAGAGCAGTTAAAACACAAATACAGAACAAATCCCTGTTTAGTTAATATGTCAAGAACAGCTCATTGCTTAATATGTATGCCATAAAACAAATGTGAAACAAAAGTAGAGCACATCACTAGAAATGGCTATAGAGCAGGTGGCTGCTTACTAGATCTGATGGTGAGTACAACGGTATATGTGCCCGTTACTCACAGCCAAGCTTTCCCACACTGGGAGATGTCTCCTGTATTAAGAAGTTGAGGGAGATCGAATGGAGTTCCTTTTTATTGCCGTCCGGGTGCCATCCAGTTAAGCATATAGCTCAGCTTTTGCGCTTTCAGAACGCCCGGCTTCTAAATAGGCTCCACCCCCTTATCAACGTGCTTCCGTGTTGTCTACGTGTTTCTCCGTTCACAGACGGCTTCGTCAGGACGTCAAAGTACTCAGTCACTCCCCACTCGGAGAGTTTTTATACACATTCTACTACTTATCTTTATTGCATTTAGGTGCACCTCATTTGCATATGCATGATGTCTGGATCAGCAGACCTGTTCTTTACACATTTAATGTCTGCTTCATCCCTACATGGACATCATTCACTTGCAGCAGAAGTGCATCCATTCATCAATAAATTTATACAAAATGTAGATGCAGTGATATTTACAATGCTAGATACAATAATTTAATCATAAAATTTAATTTAAATCTAAATTACAGCTGAATCATCATATACAGTATATGGAGGAGAAGAAAAAAGAGAGAACATGTGTTAGTATTAATTCAACACCATAAATATTATTTGGTTTTAGTGACATTTACAGTGGCACAGTAATAGTAGCCTTTAAAGTGACACAGTGACAATGTCATAAGGTGAAGCAAAGTATCATAATAAAAAGATACACTCTGATTTTTGAGTGGATATCTGAACCTTTTTATAAAGAGGTATACCTCCCAAAATCTATTTCTTTAAATTGCACAAAATAAAGTAAATTTATGAAATTCCTCAAAGTGTAGGGAAACTTGGTGTAGTTGATACCTTTTCTTAATGTTGTATGTATGCTCGCATATTCTTGTTCGTAATTGTCTGGTCGTACGACCTATATATCTCAAGCCACATGGGCAAAATAACATATAGATTAGAAAAAAAGAGAGAGAGAGAAGGGAGATCCTCTCGTATCAAGACGAGAGGGATCCTCCCACTACAGCTACCCCTAGATGAATAGATGAAATTACAGGCTGATGTAACCAAAAACGATTTAAATAGAGTATAGTGCATATAAGTATAATGTCCCAAGGAGAAAAACAACGATACTACTGTACATTGAATAATACCCACAATCATTCACTGTTGAAACACTCAATGTGAGCTTTGAGACAAAGTTACCACACTTGTAACAATTGTAATGGTAATTGGTGGAAACAATGTGTCATAGTATCCTCACAATATAAATAGTACTGTGAATGATTGAAAAATGCTGTGTCCTAATGCAGATAGCAATAGAAGATGGCATTTAAATTCTCCTCTCTATATAATCAACAATTCAAAAATAAAGAAAATGCCCTAAGGTCCTGTCATACAGAAAGGAAATCGAAAGGACAGAAAGGAGAATGTATACTGAAAAATAAAGGGGGAGAAAGAAAGAGTACACAGTGGAGTCCTCCACAAAAAGAGGAAACACCTCCACTATAATTATCCCCACTCTATGT